ATATACATACATACACATACATCTGTGTGTTATTATTTAAAAATATAATAAAATCAATTAAGTACATAATGCCTGAATGTAAAACTTGATCATCTCTCCTATTAATGGAACAAAAATTATGTGATTGAAGTTTAGTCAAATTATTGTACATAAAACAGCACAATTTTTAGTTGACACTCTGAAACTACATCCTAGTTAGATTATTAATTCTTCCACTAAATGTGATATCGTTTACCAATTTAAAAATCTGTTTGAAAGCTAAGAAGAATCAGGTCAAATAGTTATCCATATACAACTGGATTTAAAAAAAAAAAGTAATCCTTCATATTGTAATTTTTTAAAAGTTTATAGATTTGTGGATAAAGCATAATATTGAATAAATGTGCATTTGTAAATAGACAAATCAAAATCCATGAATATCATTTGTTCTTCAGAAACTATCTCCCATTTTACTTAATTTGAGATAGAATTTTAGTGTTAAAAGCACTTCCAGAGATATATAGGAGTTGCACGATAAATCAAAGATATCATCTTGGGCAAAATGCTGGTATCATCTCTCTTAACAGCATTTTTGGCTATTATCACCCCTAGCATCTCCAAAAATAAAATGTTCTTTAACTTTGTTTTTATACTTTGGACAGACTTTTCTCTTCTACTCTACTTGATTCCTTTATGTAAAAGCCAAATTGCATATACGGCAGAAAATCATATGGCACATTAATTGGGTGCAGTATGGAGTAAAACCTTTAGGACCATATACAAAGCTGGAGGCCTATAAAAAGGACTATATACATGAGGTGCTGTTTATTAAAGACCCTTAATTGAATATGTGAAGATTATCCATGGATTTAGCAAAGCATAGCAAAATCAAAGCCAGGAGAAAAATGCTCATTCCATATAGAGAGGCCCATGCATGTTTTTCTTTAAGCTTCCAATTTTATTGGAAATGCAGGCTGGAACTCCATACTTCCAAATGAGTCTGGCCATGAAGGCTCAGTAGTTAAAGTCTGATTGGATTCCATTTGAAGTATGGCAGGTTGTAAAAGTTTTGGCTTACTATTCTCCATGTGTTATAGTTCTTATAAATTGAAATAATGTTTTATAGTTAATAATGGAAGAGATTATTGGAACATATCTGTCTATATACAGTATGTGTGTATGCGTGCATGTATGTGCATATTTATTCCATTCTTTAAATGTGCTTTTCTAAAAATTGGACTTTCTTAAAGACATGAATTATATTGTAAATTGTGTTTTAGAATTTCCATTTAATTAAGCATGCATATACCTTTGTACCTTTCTTTGCCTTTTTATTTTACAGAGTTTTATATTTTAGAAAATAACTCTCTTTTAAAAGAAGCAGTTTTAATGAGGAAAAAACTCCGAACAGAAACTAGAATGCTTCACATTGATGACTATGGTAAATATACCTAGAAGTTTTTCAAAAAGGCAAAATATTTTCAAATAATATTTTTAATTCATCTTTCAAACTACCAGTCCTTAATGTTTTGCTCTTTTCTTAAAAGAACTTCCTTTACAGTTAACATTTCCAAAGGATTTCTCAGATCGAAACGTATATCCACTTCTGTTAATAGTGTAAGTATAAACCTGACATTATTAAAATTTGTAAAATTGATATATATATATATATATATATATTTATGCTATATGGCCTCAAGAATAGCCATTTTAGTTACAAAAATAGCCCTTCCAGTAGTGATCTATAAAACCTGTTAGGATGACATCATGTGTTCATCATGCAGCTATAATGTTATTAAGGATTACATAAATGGTTAAGAAAACTTTGAGTTTTACACACACACAAAAAAATATTCCCAATTATAGATGATAGAGTAATTGTTTGATATCAGTGCAATCCAAGGTTGGATTATTACCTGTAAGGTTCTTTTACTTTAGATATTGCATCACTTCCCTATTATTAGGGAATCATTATTCCCTATTACAATTATTCCTTATTATTATTAGAGAATGATTCTCGATTTTAGGGTATTATTATTGTTGGTCACACAATCAGCCAGATGTTTAGACTGAATTTGGCATTTTTATCCACCTGTCAAGTTCTTCCCAAGGACCTGGGATAGGCAGATGTTGTTGTTCGATGGTGTTAAAAGTATTGTCGCAGGGTGTAAGCTGTTCCAAGTAAAGCTGCCTTATGCAATTGACTGATGGTGATTTTGTCTTCAAGTGGTACTCCAGATGTTTTGGGATTGCATCCAAGGCCCTGTTACTGTTGGTACTATCTTTGTTTTCTTTTGCCACAGTCGTTCTGTTTCTATTTGCAGGTCTTTGTATTTTGTATTTTGTGATTTTCTCCAGTTTTTTCTCTTGACTTCTGCCATCTCCAGGTATTACAATGTCCACTATCCAGAAATTTTTGTCTTTCCTATCGACAATTGTTACATCTGGGGTGTTATGTGGCAGATGCTTGTCTGTTTCTAAAGTCCCAGATCACTTTAGCTTCTCTGTTTTCTATTACTTCATCTGTGTTGTGGCCCCACCAGTTCTTGCTTGCAGGGCAATGGCATTTCCTTTTTTTTTTTTTTCCACTTCATCCAAAATTCCTAATGGATTTAGCCAATTTTAAATTAAAGTTAGAAATGGACACTCACTCTCCATATTCTGATACTCTCTACCTCTTGTCTGCATCTCCTTTGAAGATGCAAAACCATTATAGACCTGTAGGTCTGATTAGGAAAAAAAAGTATATTGGCATAAACCACTCAAATAAGTTATTATTAAAATTGAAAAACCACAAGAAGTAATCAAGACTCTCCTGCCCTTTTTAAAATGCTAACAAAAGCTTTCTCAGATATGTTGAGGGAAGATGACTATGTAGTCCAAGACCATCGTCACTTTCATAGGAAAGTGGGAATTTGAATTATTATGAAGTGATCTCTTTCTTACTTCGCAGCTCATCCTGATATGTGTCATAATAGTATAAAAATGATGCTGTAGTTTATTTTTGTTTTATTTTTTATTTTTTTACCTTCTGAGTAATGGTTGACGGTGCCTCATAAAACATGCAGAAGGCCATTAAAGGAACTGAGGAACATAAAATAAAATACTACATTTAAAAAAAACTTGAAGCCCTCAGTGAATGGATAACAGGCTTTCTTAAAGTGAAGATTTCTGGCTGATGAAATATGACTGTATAGATAATATATGAATGACTAAATTAGGTTAGATTTAGAGGGCAGTTTTTTCAGGTGATTCTTAGGTGGAGACATGCCAATTTACAGCAGAGGAGAACCTACTTTCAGATATCTGCTTCTCTCTTTGTAATAGTTGACAGAAGGAGAAACTACCACCAATTATAGTTCCCATTCGAAAGTGACTTGAGGGGCACCCTTGATATAAGGATTTGATTAGAAAATGATCTATTTAATCAGTATCAGCACATTTACTGACCATCACTGATCTGCAAAATGAAAGAATTGTAATTTACTGAAATTGTATATTTATTTAATGACTAGAGGTTTATTTATTCTCTAGAGTTTTTAAACTGTTTAGGGTCATTTCTTACTGGAGTTAGTTTATAAGCCCAAGTAAGTAAGTAAATAAGTACATAAATAAACAGTTCCAATAGTACTTGCATGTTGTTTCTGTTATTGCCTTCTTGTTCTAAGTGGGTAGAATAAAATGTGGGAGAATTATGCAACCCTCTTGGTTGCCCAGTTGTGGAACAGTATCTAATCTGTTGAATGGCCACTGAAATAACATAGGGTATACATGTTAACTACTTATTGTTTCTTTTTTGACTAAAGAAGGAATCCTCAACATATAACTTTCATACCTGCTAGGTCACTGAACTTATTTTCCTGATTCACATAACTACTTTAGCAACCTTCTAATTTGTTTCACGTGTTAATCAATATAATCAAATAGCCGACATAGCAAATACTCTCAGAACAAATTATAATAAAATAATAATAATATAATTGTCTCACAAAAAACTACAGAGCTGAATAAAGAACAAGGTTTTAAAAAGAAAATTTTGAAAATCATAAGTGGCCTAAAATATTTCAAAAGGTTAGGGGAGCATTAGATTTTATATAATAGAAATAAGGCAGATATAAAAAGTAGGCGAGCCTTCCTGAGAACATTCCACAGATGAACATCTCAGTTCAGGAAGCTCATTAGATACTTGCCTTCTACCTTGCATGAGAAGTTTTCTTATTAAAAATGTCGGGACATTAGTTTCAATGATAGTTAAGACTAGCATGGGGGAAAAGTCCATTTAGGATTCCAAAGTTCCATAGCAGCACTTTGAGCTGAATCTGGAAGCAGTCCAGTTATGCTGTTCTAATACTGATGAAATATACTGATGAAATATCAGTATTCACCCTGTTCCAATTATAGCAGCTATAAGCCCTGATCCAATTATAGCAGCTATATTTTAAACTGTCTGTGACTTATGAACGGTCTTCAAATGCAAACTCACATTTTAGCATTATGCGTGGATCAGGTCTTATTACATTAAACATAATGGGTTTCGCCCAAATGTTCCACCCATTATGGCTTACACTTATACGTTTCTTATCCTTCAGATCATACAAATTAAAAATTAAGACTTAGCATTAGGTATGAATGTATCTGGTGTTTCAGCCTAGAACATGTAATACTATGAGTAATATAATGGAAAGTGACAGATGCTATACTGTACAACTATGTGGTCCCTCACCTCAAATAATGAACATTTTGTGAATTATTAATATCCTTAAAAATAGTTGCATTGGGAACATGACAGAACACTTACTGTTGTTGTTTTTGGGGGGGCAGATATAGCTCTCATTAATAGGTCTCCAGACAACTTAAGAAGATGCTGTGTTTGCATCATGGTGTAGATATGCAAATGGATATTATTCCAAATGAAAAGATAAGTGTGCAGACTGGTTTCCTTTGAGATGTGGTGATTTTTAACTATAATATTAAAAAAGAAATGGTTTGTAGTACTTGATGAAATCATTTGATTTGTATGAACTGCTTTACACAAATGGCTTTCTGTATATACTAGAATGCCTATACAGTGTCATAATTGTTGTTGTTTTTAATCACAAATATGTAATATGAAATAAGAGTATACCATAAATCTCTTAGGTTTATTTGCATTGTTTCTGCAAAATAAATGGGCACTGGATTGCTTCAACTATGAGTTAATCATTCACTTATACTTGAATAGAGGAGAATATATGTAGCTCAGGATTGAATTGTGGAGTCCTTGGTGTTCTCTGATTTTGGTTGTTTGCTTGCAGACATTTCATTACCTGACTAGGTTACATCATCAGTGCTAATGAGTGTGGGGTTTGCTCTCTGTTTATATACAGTAGCTTGCCCTGCCAGTGTTGGTGGGGGTGGTTTTCTCTTGGTAGTTCCTTGATTAGTGTATTGTTTTCTGCTTGATTGTTTGTCTGGTGTTAATCCCTGCTTATCTGGGCATTGGCTGCTGGAGAGTATGTGTTCTGGTCTTTTTGTTTTCTTCTTAGCTTTTTTATTGTTTCTTTTGAATGGTGAAGAAAACAACAACACACTACCCTTCCTGGAAATCCTCATCAGTAGAGGAAACAATAGCAAATCTGAAACACAAGTCTATTGAAAAACAACCCACATTAACCAAGTGCTCCATTACCAAAGTAACCATAAGAGGAGCTGTGTAAAAACATTATTCAGATGAATACAGATGCACTGCAGCAACCCAGAACACCAGAAAAAGGAAACAGATCTCCTATACAACATCTTCCAACAAAATGGATATCCACGCAATCAAAAAGTGTCTGACCACTCAACCCACTACAGCATAACCAACACAAGCTTATGAAAAGGATAACACCAGGACAGGCAGAAGACTATCAGAGTGCATCCATGAACACCAACTAGCAGTCAGAAGACACAATGAAAACTCGTTAATCTCACAACACATGGACAGACTCAGCAGATTAGACAGCCATAGTTTCAACCGGAAAACTAGACCAAGCTAAATCCAAAAACACTAGGGAGTTCCTGGAAACTTGGCATTCAGACAAATCGGCCATCAATAGATGCATAGAAATAAACCATATTTACACAACATTCAAAAGGGACAATAAAAAAGCTAAGAAGGAAACAAAAAATCAGAATACATCCTCTGTAGCAGCCAACACACAGATAAGCAGGGATTAACACCAGACAAACAATATCCTAATCAAGCAAACCAAGGAGAAAACCACACCCAAACCAGCAGGGCAAGCTACTGTATATAAACAGGGAGCAAACCACACACTCACTCGCACTGATGATGTTAAGTAATTGGGTAATGAAATGTTTAAAAGCAATCAACCAACCTCAGAGAGCACCAAGAACTTCATACATACATACATACATACATACATACATACATACATACAGTGTTAGAGATGCAGGATATAATAGCTTGCTTTGGATATAATGATAAATCATAATTTAGCTTTACAGGAAGATACCTGATTGAGCCTTGAAATCAAGTAGTTCTCAACTCTTCTCTTTTGTCAAGTACATGCCAGAAGATGAGATTGAAAGTATGCATATAACTGGTATGAACTAACTTCAATTTGCTTTGTGCG